ACAGTGTTATCTAACCATTTGATTGCCATCTGAGCTACTCTGTTGTACTCTTCCTTTTGCTTTGCTTACCATCTACAGCCTAACTCTGAGCTGTCCATCGACTGTTGGAGCGACCCAGATAACAATTTTCAGCCGAACTACCTCGTGGTTCCAGCTGGGTGTTTCTGGTTTACCCCGTTCCATCGAAGTGTTCGGCGACATTGTTCCACCTCGGTGCAGCATTATATTCCAGCAATTGTGCTGATTTCTTGGGGAGTATTGCGCCCTTGTTTTGTGCTCTACCAAACAAAGACTCCTGAACTGAACATCCAGTCAGCGCCTCCCATTGGGCGTGATTCCCTGAATTCGCACCGCTGCCTTACGGGTAAGTTATTTAGCCAAAGACTCGGGGTGGAGTCCCCTTAGTCAGCTCCCGACTTCGGCTTGGGTGACCGGGTAGTATCACGTCCTCTCATAAAACCATGGACTGTACTAAAACGTGCTTATCAGCTACCGTCTCTGCTTCTCACATTCACGTGATTTCATCACACGCCAGGTGTTTGTTTGCTAACAATCCTTACTTTCCGTTACCCGATTCATGTGTTCAACAATCTGGCTGCGATTCCGGTTGCGCCGCAGACCAAAAGGTTCAACCTATGGCTCTCCTTCGTTCCCTCTCCTCGTTCCGTCTGGCTTGCTTCAGCGTTCGGACACTCATGCAGATTGGTCAGCAAGCCGGTCTAGCGCGCACCTTAGATTCCCTAGACGTTGTTGTCTGCTGCCTTTCAGAAACCCGGTTGCGAGATCCAAGCACTGTGGTTACATTGACATCCCCCACTGACCACAAAGCCAGATATCACTTGCGTGTATCTGGAGATTCAGAAGCAGCCTCAGCGGGTTTGGCTGACGTAGGTATAGCACTAAGTGGCAAGGCCGAGGCACCACTACTGGACTGGTTCCCGATTAACAGCCGACTATGTGCAGTTCTGCTTCGGGGTTCATGTAGAACCAACAAGTACTGCGAAGTGAGACGCAACTTGTTTGTGATCTCCGTGTACACTCCAACTGACTGCAGTGACGGCTCGGTCAAGGACGAATTCTACCGGGATTTACATCAGCTCTTGACTAATGCTAGGGACTTTAATGCACGAGTTGGCCGCCTGTTACCATACGAACGCCACCTTGGTGGTCATCACGCGCTCAATGAGAACCGCTCTGATAACGGAGAGAGCATACATTGTGCGAAAACAACCATATGTTTCTCTCAAGCATTAAACTCAGGCATACGAAGCAACGTTCCGCAACATGGCGTCCCCCTTCGCCAACACAACCGTGATCTCAAATTGATCACATTGCAATTATCTTCAGATGGCGTGGCATCACACTGGACTGCAGGTCCTTTTGATCCATCTTTTTTGGCTCAGATCATGCACTGGTCTGCACAAAAATCTGTATGTGTTTTGGGCGTTCCGAAACACGAAGCATCGCAAGATTGATGTAAACCGATGAACTGATTCCTCTGTCCAGGCGAGCTATCACTCTTCACTGGCATATGCACTCAGTTGCAATCCACCGCTAGAAGTGGAACAACACTGGACTTGTATACGGAAAGCGATGACCATTTCCTGACAGTCAAGCTGCGGTCTAACTCGACGCCCCCTAAAGGCTTGAATCTCTGCTGGTATTCTGGGGCTGTTCGAACGCCGCAAAGATATACCCGCGGAATCAGATTGCAACGAGCGACGCCGTTCTGCCAACCGGCTGCTCAAGGAATGCTTGCGCAAGAATCGCGAGGCATGGTGTTCTGAACGTGCTTTAGAGATAGAGACCGCTGCCCTCTCTGGTAACACTTGCAAGCTTTCCCAACTTATTCGGTCCACTGGCCACAGGAAGTCTGATGTCAATGAGGTCATTTGTGAGGTGGATGAGTCTCCGATCACCAACCAACAGAGGCGTTTGACCGTTTGGCGGAGCACTTTCACTCACAGTTCAAATGGCTTCCACCATCCATCCACCTTGTTGTCGACCCTGGCTCGTCCCACTGAATCCACCTAGCGAAGCGGAAGTCTGCCTCGAGATTCGACGCTTGAAGCGCCTCAAGACTGCCAGCTTAGACGGACTTCTTCCGGAACTATTCAAGAATGGCGGTGTGGCGATCATTAATCAGCTGACTGCACTGTTCGCAAAAATTTGGCATGAACGGAAAGTCCCTTTCTCTTGGGGCGAATCAGTTATTGTCACTAGTTTCAAGAAAGGCGCTCGCACTTCATGTGCAAAACATCGCGGGATTAGTCTTATTTCGGTCGGCTCTAAGCTATTGGCATCCATTCTGCTCCGTAGACTATCCCCGATGCGTGAATCATCCTAGCGTGAAGAACAAGCTGGTTTCCCTCCCGGCCGCGGATGCATGGATCAAAGCTTCACGCTCCGCCAGCTCCTTGAATATTGCCACATTTATCACAGGCCCACTATGGTTGCATTCCGGGACATACGTGCCGCCTTTGACTTCTGATTGAACTACTTTATGGCGTTGCTTACTAAAGAACGAAATGCCAGAAGAAAAATATACCACCATATTACGAACACTTTACCTTCATACATCCGGCAGTGTGAGGGTCTATGGCAAGTTTTCCTCGCAATTCGCTGTCAATAGCGGTGTGCGACGGGGCTGCCCTATGTCCCTATTCCTCTTCAACTTCGCAATCGAAGACGTTCTGTCGTATGCTCTAGGTTTCCAAAATTTTGGCCTGGAGCTTTTACCGGGTGAATGAACGACAGACTTAGATTATTCTGGTGATATCGCTTTACTTGGTGACGATCCTCAGGGTATGCAACTCACTCTGGATCGGTTGGCGGTTGAAGCATCTAAGTATGACATGAGCTTCGCCTCATCGAAATGTAAAGTACTGCTCAATTATTGGCTTTCACCTGCTCCCGTGCTCACACCCGTACTTGATCAGGTAGATAGTTTCGTCTACCTTGGGAGCTGTGTTTCTACTGACGGCACTATCAACAAAGAAGTTTCTCTTCGTATCGCTAAAGCTCGATCAGCATTTGTCAATCTTAGGCACTTGTGGCGTCGTCGCGATGTCTCATTCTCGCTAAAGGGCCGCGTTTACAGCGCATCAGTTCGCTCAGTGTTGTTGTATTGGAGCGACTCCTGGCCGATTCGTGTTGCAGACATGCGTCGTCTTTTTGCCTTCGATAACGGTTGCTTAAGGAGGATTGATTAAGGTTGATTAAGTAGGTTGCTTAAGGAGGATTGGATTGTGTTTGGTGGCAACATCAACTTAATAGTACTGATGTTTGACGTCGCACTTTGGGGAATGCGAGTATTCCCTTCAACAAACTGATTTTGCTGCGCCAGTTGAGATGGCTCGGTTACGTCCTACGCATGGCACCTGAGCGTCTACCGCGTTGCGCTCTATTTTCTCGTCAAGGACCTGGCTGGAAGCGACCGCGTGGTGGTCAGCCTTCCACTTGGCGACAGCCCATGAAATCGCTGACGTCGTGTCTAGCCGATGTTGGATCCGTACGTCTTCCATGATTGCGATCTAAACATGAGGAGTGCCAATAGCTCTTGTAGACATGGCCCGGAACCGGAATCAGTGAAAGAATTGTGTACAGAATTGTACTGATTCACATGTTTATTACTACAAACATTGAAAATGACAAAAAAGAGAAACATCAGCGTGTGAATAATAAACTAAAAATGTTTTGTTCTACTTTTTGTCAAAATGTTCCTTTGTTCCTGCGGCATATGAGCTGAAGTGTGTTGCTCACCTTCAACTACTATACCACGATGATTACGATGCGATGACTTCCCTTATCCGCTAATCTCCATGGTTTTTTGTTGGCTCTGTGTCTAGTTGCTACTGCTGAGACTATTTACATATACACACTATCATTTAAACGTTTGGGTCCGACGAAAGTTTCCTCGAAAAGAAATCGTAACCCAGTACTCATTTGGTCTTGATTTGAACAGACAGATGGTTTATTTTCGAACTGCCTAAAATCTGGTATTAACTTGATACCAAAATACTATAGCCCGTCTAATGATCCCAGCTGGACGTCTTCAATAGCACACCGCCGTTGACAGGAAAAAAAGTGTGAAAAGCTTACCGTGCTTACTGTGCCTAAAGTGTGGGAGCTATAATTTCCGAAGTATAACTACGTAGTTTTCCGGAATTCCGTTCTTTATCGGGCGTCGTCGTAATACAGGTTTGCTCTGCTGTATCGAATGCTGTCCGAATGTCCAGAATATCGACAATTCTGGGTTTGTGGTGGAGATGGCGATGCTGGAGGAGCTGAAGTGGCTTGATCCACACATCTCCGACCAGGGCGAAAACCAGTCTGCTCTCTCCGGTAGTGTGTACCGCGTTGGTTGTAGTTCATGGAGTATGGTGGATGAAACCGATATCAGACTGATGTCTCTGTGATTGGTGCGTGAACTACCAGAGGAGTCACGATTTTCCAGAAACTAAACTTCGGCTATTGCCTTGTGTTTGGATATTCCTGGACGTGATTACCATTCACGCCTGCGTGAAAACACGCCACAAAAGCTGACATCATATTCTCTCGAGGGTTACCACTTACCCCTATCAGATAAGGCTAACTGGCGAATTTTATCCTTCTGCTCGTTTTGTTTTGCCTGTTAGATGCAACCCAAGGCAAATTGCTTCACATTCGTGCGCTTTCGTTCGTCGTCTGTGCCCGCGATTTGCTCGTTGACCTCTTTTGGTATGTAGACTTTTCCAACGTTCCCATGAGTTGCCAAACAACAGGAACATACCCGTTTGCTGTAGTGATCGCCTTTTGCATATCAATAAATAACCGGTTTCACAGTTCGCGCATGACTGACTGCAACTCTACATACCATATACTAAAGCTGGAGTCACTTCCATTAAAATAATGTTTATTGACAAACATGTATCAGTCATTGTGTGTTCTTTCTTATAACGTTCGCTCTTGTCCTTTGCACTGCAACTGTTCTCCGTCAATCGATGCTACTACTACTTTAGAATCTGTTGTTGGCAATGGATGGCCTGGCAAATACGTGGCTGTTTGAGGCTGGTACAACGATTGAAGAAACTCACACAGTGCCAGAAGAAGAGACGCGGCTTGACTCACCATCTCAAGGTGATCCACTTGTCCAGGAGAGTATCGTCCCGGGTTGTTATGCGACACTAGCGTATGACGAATGTGGTCGAGATTCATATTCGGAACAAGGAGTTCGTTTGAAATATGTCGTGTTCCAGAAAGGGGATAATGAATTTCTGGTAAGTCTTGCTCAGTATAATCGTTAGGTTAGTTCGTGTAATTATCTTTTTTCTTCGTTTGACTTTTATATTATCTTAAATATCACTCATAGGGCGCGACAATCCGCATTGAAAGGCGTTCGGTTTTGATCGCACGTATTGTCAATGGAGGACTGGCGCAAAAGACTGGTGAGTTAACTTTGCATCTTTTTGATCTCTTCATTGTATGCAATCGTTTCGTCAATGTTATATTTAGCCCGTCGCCACTGGCTTCAATGCCTTTTCAACGACTGTACTCTATCCTTTTTCTCGTGGGTGAAATCTTGACAAGCTGGTCGGGTGTTGAAGTAATATTGCACCAAGAGAACGGCTTACGTGGGGTCATACTCGGTCCCCTGCGATCCAGGACGCACTAGCTTACACTACATGCTGCACGGTTGAAATTGTGCTTTGTGTCTGTAAAACGCAAGGCGCTTCAACTATATTTGCGCCTTACGCCATCCACTCTTAATGTCATCAAACACCCGTACGTAGCAGTGGGCCGATGAATTATTCTTGTTGTTTATGGCACTGGCGGTGATTTCGCTTCGAACGCCGCTGCTTCTATCAATATTGCACAGGTGATGTCACTGTGTAAATGCGAAACATGACCATTACCAGTTCAGAGCACCAAGACACCGGGCATCTTTGTTCATCGTCTTTTGTGGGGCATTTGTCTGTATATGGTGGGAAAACCGAGCGATCGACACCGGAGTCTGCAAGAAGGCGCTTGATACCGAGCTTCCTGAAACCCATTGAACTTGAGTAATTTAGATTGTCTAGTTCGCATACTTCGTACATTATTTTTCACTGTGCTTTCATTTGAGCGAAGTCGCACTGCAGCGATTTGGTGACGCGGCTCAAAGTAATGAAGGAATCAACCGGTGCATAGTTTCTTCCGGATTGAGAACATCTGAATCGGTTTTATCGATGGAACAGTCGTGGAGTCCGTGGCGTTTCCGCCTTCGGTCTTTGTCTTGCTGTTCACATTCCAGTCAAATTAATATTTCCTAGCCATTTCCTCACTGCTTTTTTGTCGACTTATTTACATTTTCCCCCAACGGGATGTTGTAATTCATAGAAACTGGGTCCACCATACTTTGGTGCTTTGTTCGTGGTTTTTGTTTTGACGGACTTCCCTCACCTTGTTCTTACCCAGACTGCAAGCTGGAATGTGTTTGCATTGCCTCCAAGTCGGCTGGTGCCAGAAAGGATTGCATGTCTGGCTTGCAATCCTTAGGTGTCACCGGTTCCAATCCGCATAGTAGGGGCAGGCGGACCGGTCGCCTCGCAGCGAAATGTTGGTACGCACACATTGTGCCGGTGACTTGCTGATGACTTACTTCTTCAACTATGTACTTTTATGCAGTTTCACTTGTGCACGGCTTGTGGGGTGGTTTATATTGTGGGGAGACTGAGCCATCGGTCACAACATGTAGAGCTCCGGTTTATGCTACCGTAGTCTACTTCACTTACCGGCTTTGATACAAGTGTTCATTGAAGCGGTACTTTCATTCATTAGTGGAGATATCAGCAGTGCATTTAGGCCAATATTTCACTTCCAAGTGATCACAAACGGTTGTGCACCAATCACCATACTGTTAAGTCGCCCATTTCTCGTTAAACGCGAGAATCGAATCTGGATTATAACCTGTGTTCAGCTTACCATGCACTCTGGTCGAGAAAGTAGTTGTTCAGCCACCTTTTCAGGTGGCTGAAAGATATTGATACGTGCTTTGGTCCACGTATTTTGGTAGAAACGATTTTCATAGGTATCTTGATCTCAACAAAATTCCCCTATTGGGTCACTCTACATAGTGACGCATGCTTACTCGGTATACCTGGGAAATATGGTACGGAGCGATTCGTCCAGTGGCATGGGGCACATGCTATGATTAACCATATGCTCAAACCTTAGTTGTCTCCAACGAGGAACGTGTGACAACAGTCTACCGACTTGTGCATGTAAAGCGGCCACGAGTTATCACAACTGCGTAATTCTTGGATAGTTCACTGAGCGTGTTGGTGTGGGAACCATCTATGTTTTTGATAGCACTCCATGAATATCTGCCCGTAACGGCCTACTGTGCATATTGCGAGGCCTTTAATGCATTTTGCTTCGTTCAGCGTGAAATAACGTGGTTTAGCCAAAATTGTGAGCGCGCAGTTTAGTCTTCACTTTTACTAAAAGGACTACGGCTGTGTATTTAGTATTTAACATTAACTCATCACTATTTTTATTTAGATCTTCTCGTTGTGGACGGGTTCTGACCAACGTAAGTGGCATTACAGTTTGCTTTCTGGGTTTGCTTTCTGCCAGCTACTGCTACTTAACTGCTATCAATCCCGCACTGAAGATGCCACCTCGAATGGTGGCGGAACGTTTGCAACCAAGTTGCCCAGTTCGGAGAACTCCACAACAACTGGGCATTACAGTGGTCACGTCACAAAGCTTCGTAGTTTGCGGTTGACGATAAGGTGATTTTTTCAATAAGGAAGCTAAACAACTGGGGGCTTTTGGTGGTACAGTCCCACACCAAGCGAGTTCTAGTGGGTTGAATGCGGGAATCGGTCAGTTAGTATAATGATGATTCGCGATTAACACAGCTTTTAAATCAGTCTTAAAAACACGTTGGTTTATGCTTCTTAGCGTTTGCAACCCAACACTGTGAGTAGGCTCACAAATGTGGTAGACTTATTCCTGCAGATTATGTGAGTGTGTTTAAGCGGTCATCATTTCAATAGTTATCTCCTTAATGCGCTTCGACGCTACTAAGTTGCACACAGCAAGCTGATATGTGCTCGCTGTTTTCTTTTTTACCAGTTTGATGCTGGCAGTTCTCCGACGTTCGTCGCCCTTTTGTTTTTCTTCGTACAGCTACTGAGTTCAACACATTCCCTGCGGCTAATATGGGGTATCTTTGGGGGTATCTTTGTATTGCGGCACAGTAGCTGAGGTGTTCCCCACCTCTAGCTAACGTGTATGATGATGATGATGAATATGGGGTAACCAAAATCACTCAATTTTTCATAACGTAGCTAGCTTCATTTGCTACTAAGTGCGCTGTCTACCGCCTGTTAATCGACTAGGTGGCCGTTTATTTCCTGTAAACTGATCACGGAAAAGCGCACATCATTTGGTTAGCTGGAACTAAATGACGATTTTGATATATCGCGGGCATGAAAAGACTCGGTGGCGGCAAAATACCAGAGCTGTTTGAGAAGCACAGCCAGACCAGTGTGTTGATAATTTACTTGCGATATAATAATGGAGCGCATCCAAGTTTGACTTTTCCCCTTGTGTCTTGAGCGATCATCACATGAACCTCTTTTTCCCTCTCAATATCTGTCTCCCAACAGACCTACTACACGAGGGTGATGAACTTCTTGCCGCTAATGGAGTTGAACTTCTGGGCAAGGATCTAAATACAGTTACCGATATACTGGTATGTCATTTCTATTTTCACTTTCGTATCATCAGTGAATTCATTATTTACTAAGTGTTAACCTTCTCGTCCCTTCGTGATATGGTCCAGTGATTGCAATAGGTTTGATTACCGATAACTCCAGGTGGCTCTTTGAATCTTGATCGATTATCCGAGCTGAGCAATTTCCTTGCAGACGTTTCGTCACTTTTTGAGGTGGCGTGGTCAGCAGGTACCAGCAGTTATTTTGTTAGCAGGTACTGAGTTTCGAGCAAATCCAACGACGCATCCGTCATCGGTACAGAGATCTGGTGTGCTGAAGTTAGCTGGACTGAAGATCTTATTCACGTTTGTCAAAACAGCCGCCGAACAGCATCAGCGTTGGACATAAGTCATAGCCTTGCCTTGGGTTGAGATTTGTGTTTCTACCATGTGTGTGCGACCAGATTGTTTCGACATACATCGAGGCTCCAAATGGTCGCGACAACGTGGGGTCTGATATTTATATCAAGGAGATGGTTGTTAAGAACTTGATGGAAACAGTTATGCGTGTCATCTTCATAACAACCACAGACAAACCACGGATGTGGGTTAATGAACAAACTTAAACATAATCAGTGGTATGGATCGGAGTTCGCGAAACTACTCTCTATGTTCTTGTCAGGAATAACAACCATCTTTAATTTGAATTAGATGCTCCATCATCTTTAACAACACGATCGTGTAGCTGATTTGTGGCTAGATATTCCCATGACACCCTTTTATTGATCTGGTATGTCACCGTAATTCACGACCAGGGTAACTAGATACCGTAACATCAGTGGATTAAAGCTGCACACGAAATTTATGTTGGGATATGATAGCTTCACCTGAACTGGCGAATTTGGTAAACCCTATGGGTTTTCCTCTGCCTGTTAGTTTGAATCGGGCGACGTTAACTTGATGGTACTTGACGGATAGCTGATCTATGGAGGCCTGTCTATAGTTTCCGCTGAAGGAAGCGCAGTACCAATTATTATACTCTTCTTTTGTGTGAGTTGAACCATGTTGTTTGCTGTCCTACATTGGTAAAACAATGCGGTGTCTTGACTGGATTTGATGGTTGTTTTGCTCCACCAGCCTGCTTCCGTCGGGCCAGCTGTTTTGACCGGCAAATGCTCGTTTGCATTTTCCTTGGTATGGTGGACCATCTCTAAATCTGTAATCACCTATTGCTGCTGCAGGACTTTGTTGTTTGTCATAATTATTGAGCAGCTTTTATGGCTTTACAGATCTTTTGTGCTGTTTCCTTTCTTTGTTTTTGGTTACGAGTCGTTTGTGCTTGATAGAAACAAGCGGCTCAATGCGGTCACTAGTGAAGGAAAATGTGTCTCACTACTCGGATCTTATCTAGGTCACAAAAAGATCCCAGTCGGCTGTTCTATGGGACCTGGAAATCTTTGGTGAATTTATTTTTATAGTTTGGTAGTCGGGTGTTAACGCTGAATGAAAGCGAAACCACTATGTGCTCCTAACCTTAAGAATTTCACCAAAACCTCGGCGGTAGCTGTAGGTAAGCCAATGGGAATGATAGAAGCCGAAATTATTTCCTCCTAACAAGGACATGACATATGCATACTAGGAATGAGGTTTCTAAGTTTGGATTGAACATGATTTTACGATAATACGCGGTCTGGCATGTTGAAGCACCCACTATTATCTTGCACTTAGCAGGTTGGTATGCAACTTGACGTAATACGATTTTTATGGTGTTGGGTGAAGCGACAGTCTTGCAACTGTCAGTGCGACCTATACGATTCTCTGCTTTTATGGTAGCACGTGAAAGGTTGGATAGTTCCGTCACCGGAACGCACACTTGGATTGACGGAAGACTAACCTAACTAACACATCATGTTGTGACTACCGGCTTTGTGTACCACATCTTTCTCAGCTATGAACAATTGCAACCTACCTTGCATATCTTCGGAAGACATTACTACGATCATTTAATTGACTCGACGTCAAATTGTCCCGTATGCTTTACCCACCTCGTCAGCGGTGAGTAGGTTCAAACGCTTTAAGTACATTAATATGCCTTTCCGGGATAACTCATATTTGCTATTCACTCGACTAGAATTCCTTGTGGGAATCATCAAATTCTTTTCGGTTAGCTGATTTTACATTGACTTACTTGAGATACTCTCTGCGCCCTTACATTCCATTAGCAAACGCATTTACTAAAATATTTCTCCCTGTGGTCATCTCATTCCTGCTACCAGTGGACGTGTAAACTCAGCCTCAGTCTTGTACACTCTTATCAAATATTGTCAATGGTGAATTACGAAAACAAAAGAAATTACTCAGTTGACCAATCCGCGTACAGTGCTCTAGTTCTATCTCCGGAGCATGCTAATCATCAGTCAGCGGTCTGCGTTATCCGTAAGGTCAAGACCACTGCAATCAGCAAAGGAAGACGATTGAGTGTTCGCGTGTTTAGCATCTCCGAAGGACAAACATTTATCTGTCCCTTCTCATCGGTTTTTAAAAGCTACGGCAGTGATATTTTCTCCCATTTCTGTTCATACAGCAGCACTGATGCGTGTGTACCTTTCCATCAGAACAAAACATCTCATTCCACTTGCACGGGGTCACACGTGCACTCCCAGCTGACATTTTCCTCATAGCTTCTGGGTTTTTTTTCCGATCAGCTTTACCTTTGTTGTTCTGTACATATTTGCACCATCATAACCCCACCTATATGAACATGCCTTGCATTGTCTAGAATAAGCCATTTATTTATTTAACAGAATTTTAGAGTTTGTGGGCTGACGCCAGGGAATCCTGATTTAGACGCTTTTAGTACACCACGAGGTTTTGTGGCACCTAGCTAGTTGAATTCTCTTTCGGAGTATGTTCAAATCAATCCACATTTCCCATTACAACTCAATCACAGAGTCTTCGTATCCCTTATAAGTCAGGGTCCTTATAACTAACGAATTCCATTACGACTGACTTAAGACGTTTAATCCTTGTACAGGCATTTACTACTGCGAATTTGGCCGCTTTCATTCACGCTCATCACAGTAATGATAACAATAACAATAATAATGGGCACGGATGGTGGAACTGAGAAAGCGGTGCACGTTCCGCGACATGGAACTAATCTTAATGGGTGCTGTCACATATAACAGTAGAACGCAATGATTATGAATAAGAATCACCCGAGGCTTAGTCAGCTGAGTCAGATGACGTTGGTGTTTCGCTCAATCGTAATTACTCACGCGCTATATTTGCACCATATTCTTGGTAACTCAAGCCTGCATCCCCCCACATGCACGCACTCTTGCTAGCGAGCCTTGGTACATAACAGTCCACTGCAGTTGCTACTTTAGTTCCTAAACGTTCTCATTTTTTCATAATAATAATAATAATAATAGTAATGTGTCAGCTGTACACCATAACCTCGCTTTGCTGTCGCGCGACCACCACCAGTCTCCCGTGGGCTGAGTATACCGCGAGGGCGCCCACCCCTACGCGGATTCGAACGGGAGATCTTAAGGTTGCAAACCAGGTGCGCAAACCATTCGGCCACCGGCCGACTATAAGCTGTCTATTGTTTTTCTATTTCCCTTAATGCCATTTACGCCTGTATAGTGATGCCACGACGTCAACCGATATTGTTCCAATGATCTGAACTTGAAATTTTTATGCCAAGTCTACGTTTATTTCCTACCCACCGCACAAATTAAGGGACGTTCCGTGCATTTTTGTTAACACCACATTTCCGGCAAGTTTTTCTCTTTACTTATTGCACCTTTCACTGCGACTAACAATCTAATCTTTGTTTAGAAGACCGTTAGTTTGAAGATTTCGCCAGATGTGATGTATTCACATGACGTTAACATAATGGTTAACCACCTTCTCTTAGACCATCGCTCAAGCCGTAGAAATAGTAACTACATCTACCTTATACCTATTAATCACTCACCCAATGAGGGGACAGTGTCAAATCGACCTACTGTATCCCACCAAGCAGAATCTCCGCGTCTACACGTTGGTGTTGAATTAGCTTACTCTTTAGGTTTTCCACCGGATACGGGACATGTGGATGGAGCTGTGTGGTGCAGCGCAATTAACCTATGGTCACTCTTTAGGCGCAGGCGTCCTGTGGCTGTCATACGGAGACCGCGACATGCCAATCCGGAATCGGATGCCGCCAGCAATGTTACGGAGAGTCTATGGCTCGCTTAGGCTTATGGTGGCGAGATCCTGACAGATCGTAGGCTTGCTTCTGCTTGTTGTGACTTGGAATCCTCCTTGCGACGGCCAACTGAGAGTCGGGTTACATTCTTCTTCTAGCTAGGAGCCAGGACGATGTACGTCTGAGTCGGTTCACGACTGCCTTTCGGGCGTGCATTTGATCAAAGGCTTTGGCTGAAGACTGTGGTCGCTCTCCTGTTCAGGTAGAACGCCCTGGCATTGCACCGGTCCAAAACGGAACTATTAGTCATACTAATACTGGTAATGCCATGCTGCATCCGCCGTCGCGCAATGGTGGTGGAGCGAAAAGGGTCGCCTTATCTGCTGCATACAGCGAGCTGGATTAGCGGAAACATGCTACCGATAATGCCCCCGTCTTTCTTCTTCTCGTCAATATTCCCAAATCCCAGTCGGCATTTCAAGTAACCCACCACTTCCTCCAATTCAGGTCACCACACTAGCAATTGCTTGCCGTTAACTTATGCCTTGCGCCAAGCGCTCAACATCGGGTGCTGGAACGTATGAGCACTACTCGACCAAAAAAAGAGTGAGCGTTCAGAGCGACGCATTGCACTGGTCGCGTTGGAACACGCGCACTACGGTATCGATATTACCGCACTCAATGAGACACGGCTCGCTGAACAAGACTAGCTGCATGAGGCTGATGCTGGGTACATGTTATACTGGAAGGTAAAGCGCCACCGCTGCACCACATGGGCATAGGGTCGGATTTGCACTACCCTACTTCCAAGATGGCCAGCGACTGGCAGATCCTACTGGCATCAGCCCACGATTGCTGACTCTTCGCCTATGACTTGGAAGAAATACATTTGCAACTTTCATTAGCGTAGTTATCCTCGTGATATCCTCTGTGCCGAGGAGCGACTGACTGTTCCAACTGAGTGATTTCAACGCGCGCGTTGGGCGTGATCCTGCGGTGTGGACTGACACAACCGGTCCATATATTATCGACACAACGAATGGGAATGCTCACCATCTGTTCTCACTGTGCGCCACTCACAGTTTGACAATCACGAACGATACTGCTACTTGGACGCACCCACGGAGTGGTCCCGCTCACCTGCTCGACTATGCCATCGTACGCCACCGTGACATGCGTGAGGTACGTATGACACATATACTGTGTGGAGCTGAGTGTGACACTGATCACAAGTTGGTGCGGACAAAATGGTAAAAACATTTTGGTAAATCCATACACTGTTCCTGTAAGGTGAACTGACGGAAGGATAGTGCTCGTTCCCTAGGTATTGTTGAAAAAATCATCGAGCTGTAAAATGCGATAGCAACTCCCACTGGCGACGTAGACCGTCGCTTCAGTGAGCGATCTGTGGCGCTGCGGTCTGAAAAGAAAACGACCGGGCGCGTAAACTGTGTTCAGACCGATTGGTTTGGTGACAACAGCTCGACCATTAGCGCGCTATTGTCAGAGCAGAATGCGGTTTTTGCTCCGTAGTTGCAGGACCCTTACAACTCAGAGAAAGAGAATAACTTTCGCTAATTGCGCCGGCGATTGACTTGAGAGCGCTGTCGCATCGAGATTGCACGGTTAGCAAAGAAGTTGGAACAGATGGGATGCAATACCGAGCAACACCAACTTAAGGAGTTCCATGGCTCATCGAAGGCAGGTAAGGAGGATGCGGGTGGACGTTACCTCAGGGACTGCCTGCACACAAGTTGTAGACAAAGTGAAAGCGCTTCGACTGTCTCTGAACGATCGTTCAGAGAGTTATTTGGTGAGGTTGAATGAGCTGCAACAACAAGGCGTACTAACGTTCTTGCCGACACATTGCTGCTGCATGAGACGCAGAGAGCGCTTGCTCAACTGCGAAACGGCAGGTGCTACGAAGTCGACAGCATGCTGCCACAAAGGTTTAAACATGGCAAACCTGCATTGATGATTGCGCGACACCAATTGGTGGAACGCGGGTTGTTCGGAGAAAAACTTCCGTCTATGCTGGTAGATGCCCTTCTGATACCACGGTACAGTGACAAAGGGTGCAAGCAATTTGCCACGAATTTTCATAACATCTTGCCGAGTTTTGTCGGGAAATTGATTGCACGAATCCTTCTCACCCGCCTTGTCACGCAGAGCGTTGAACCGTATGGGGGGAAAATCAATGCGGATTCCGTTCGGGTCCGGTTTGATATGTATTACTTTTGTTGCTGCTTTTGATTTTAGTGTCCCTGTGTAGCACCATATTGATGGTGTGTTACTGGTCATCCGTCGTTTCATAGCGATAACCCTAGTGTTTGTGACGACCATGCTTATTTCCATCTTTTTTATGACTTCGCGTTGTTTGTGTACAACGCGGATGTGTTACTGCTCATGACATCGACTTTCGCTTCGATAGCGGTTAAATTCGGGCTTTATCAGCGCAAGCGCGGCTGTCTTTTATAGCCTTCACCAGGAGCGGAATCCGTGGGCTTGCTACAAATCCAGCCTGAAGGTGATGTTTTGGAAACTAGCCCGAAGTTTTGCTGCCTTCGTCACATGACGGGCGGTCTGCGCATCCGCGTATCGAAGACTGAGGCTGCATTCGAAAAGCTGAACATTTAGGTGTGAAGGTACCGGTCGCTGTCCGTCCGTACGGATCTGATGGTGTACCGGTCAAGGGTGCTGTAAGTCAGCGAAATCTAGACGATGTACTCATAGGACGTCCGATATATATGCGCTTTCATCAAAGTTACCTTCGTCGGATCTTGCGCATCGGTTGTGTAGGGGAGGGTACTTCGCCGCCGTGGTATGTATGCCTTGTACTGCATACTTCTGCTGTTGCAGGTAAACTGGACTGGGTGCCTCCGCCGTATGGATCCCACCAGTAGCAGCTGCTTTATGGCCAAATGCAGGAAAGCGATTCGCCGGCAAACCGAACCTATGCTGTCAGGACTTGCTCAAGGTGAGTTTAACACAATTTAATGTTAACTTTAGATGTTCAGAATAAAAGGCATCAAGGAATCAAAGGCGCTCCTCTCTGCCTCGTGCTTCTTGACCAACCTTTAGCCAACAAACCTACGAAGACATGAGGCTAGTGAGCGTGCGCGTTGTCATGGTGCGGCAATGTCCCTGGTGCTCGTGTCCTTAACGACTGTTGGCTACAGCTTCTAACGCTTGTGGCAGACAATGGGTGGCATAACAGTCTCCGGTTACTGTGCGTTCCCGTACGAATGGTGCTGTAGCCACATGACTGGTCTGGGACACTAACACAGCCGCCATCTGCTTAGCCACACTGCGCTCACGCCGGAATTTCTGAAGCGGCGCCCCACGAACGGCCGTCCACTGAGCCGATTGTTGCTTGACCTTTGGGTCGAAACTGAACACCTGGCTCTCATCAACACTGAGAATCTCCCAAACAGCGTTGGTACGTCCACCATCAAACCTGGCAAGCATGATGTGCATCAGCTCACCTGAGCTGCTTTCTGGTCTTAACTGTGCGTGCACAAACCTTTCTGAGGCCGATGTTCGCGTGTAGGATGGTTCGGACTGATCCCATTGGCTTTTCCCAGCTGTACCACAGTCACCCGCGCGCTCTTCAACATCGCTTGAACCGCAGCAATGTTGTCCTCGGTGGTGTCCTCCACAGGTCGACCACACCATGCCTCATCAACCAGGAAACGCCTACTACGCTTGATTTTCGCAAACCACGGTGCTTCTTGAAAGCGCATCATCACCCTACGTAGCACACAATCACCCAACACTCTGGTGCTGCTTTAAACCTCATATGTGGTCATAGAAAATCATCGCGCTCCAGTGACATCGCCTGAGTTCCATACTTACAGTCAGATTATAGCGACCGTTGTGACTTGGGTGTTGTGCTGGACTGTTGATATACCGTTCTGTGACTATAAATCACTGCACGATGTTTAAAATGGATTACAGTTTACGTTTGCCATCGCAATGAGGCTGGACCTTACCGTGGTGCGATGGTTTGTGTGCCTCAGCGATCCATTGAGCTACGCTGGGTGGTGCTTTTGCACCTTCAGAGTCACTCATACCAGATTGGTCAATGGTTAGAGGCCAGACAAACTCAGCCTCCTGGTCCTCCAGGTTGGGGGTTGGAATGAGGGTGGCTCCTTATTCCTTAAAATGGACTCCTTGTAGCCCAACGCCAAACCCGCTGCCTTGCAGTCAGGTTTTTGAACCAAAGGCTTTGGTTGAGAACCCGAATCGTTCTCCTGTCTAGGCCTGGGCAACCTGACAGTATCCTGCCCACGCAATACAATGAATCCTTCCCCAAACCAATTTCTGATGCTCTGGCCACCGCAGAGGATAATCAACGGTGCCCTGTCTGCTGCATCGAGCAGAGTGATAGGGGTTTGGATGCTACTGCTCAGGCCTTCCCGTCTTCTTATCCCCCTTCTTGCGCTTTTTCACCCTTATCGTCCCGTTCCAGCTTTACTTTTATCCCCCTGTTTTCAACCCTCAATTCTCGGCCCTCCCCCAACATGCTTTGCTAGGCATTTACCTTCCAATTTCAACTCACACGTGAACGCGGAGCGTCACTCCTCTCCTGTCGACAAGCCCACGTCCAACCAAGCGGTCCAATCCAGTTCATCGGCTTCCATTTGGAGCCCTCGATCCTCCTTCAGATTGGCATGCCTCAATGTACGCACACTGCTACAAATCGGTCAACGGGCAGCACTTGCCCGAACATTGGAGACCCTCTCGATCGATATCTGCTGCTTATCAGAGACTCGCCTGCAAGACTCGAGCCTTGTGCTCACTCTGCGATCCCCTTCAGGGGACGCAAGCAGTATTTTCTCCTTGCGCCTATCCGGTGACAATGCAGCTTCGAGCACCGGCCAAGCTGGCGTTGGTATTGCCCTGAGGCCCCGGGCTGAAGCTGCTCTGGTTGATGTCCCAACCGACGGGAGCCGCTCCGTTATTGTTCACATCTTCAAAGGCGGCTCGCGCTCGGAATGCGGCAACCATAGAGGAATCAGTCTGATCTCCATCGCCTCCAAATTACTCGCGTCCATAATTCTCCACAGACTGACTGGCGCTCGTGAAAGCCAGATTCGTGAGGAGCAAGCCGGGTTTCGTCTGGGTCGTGGCTGCATCTACCACATCTTCACCTTGCGTCAGTTGTTGGAGCACCGTCACACATATTGGCGGCCCACCGTAGTCGTGTTCATCGACATCAAAGGTGCCTTCGATTCGGTTGATCGATGTGCCCTTTGGAATTGTCTACTCAGGAAAGGTGTGCCCGAGAAATATGTAAATATTATCCAAGCATTATATGCGCGTAGCACGGGCAGTGTAAGGGCTTACAGCAGGCTGTCGCCACCCTTCAATATCTCCAGCGGTGTGAGCCAAGGATGCCCGCTGTCACCTTTCCTAATCAACTTCGCTATTGACGAAGTTATGGAGATTGCATTTACAGGACATGACTTGGAAGGTGTGGAGCTACTCCCAGGAGAACGACTCCTTGACTTAGAGTATGCAGACGACATTGCCCTCATCTGTGACAGCTCCCAGACGTGTCAAGCCGCGCTGGACAGATTAGCACTGGCTGTCAGTCGCTTCGGGCTTTGCTTTGCACCACCGAAGTGCAAAGCGTTCCTCCAGGATTGGCAGGGTTCGCCCCCTGTGCTGACCCTTGGTGGGGATCAGCTAGAAGTCGTTCAGAAATTCAATTACCTGGGAAGTTGTATCAGCGCCCTTGGGATCGAAGACGAGATCACGAACCGCATAGCGAAAACTCGAAGTGCTTTTGCTAACCTTCGCCACCTATGGCGACGGCGCGACATTACTCTCGCCCTGAAGGGTAGAGTGTACAATGCAGCGGTACGTTCGACCTTACTGTACGGTTGCGAAACCTGGCCCTTAAGATCGGCGGACATAAAGAGGCTACTTACGTTCGACCATCGGTGCCTTCGCAGTTTGGCTCACATCTGGTGGGAACACCGCGTGAGTAACGAGCGTGTTCGACGCCTTGTTTACGGCCTAGGAAAAGGGAATGAACCGCTCAGCACCGTCATTTCACTCACCAGGCTCCGATGGCTGGGCCACGTGTTGCGCATGCCAGCCCACCGACTCCCTCGACGTGCGTTGTTTGCGCGCCGGGGGTGTGGGTGGAAGAAGAGGAGAGGTGGCCAAGCGATGACTTGGTCCAGAGGAATGAAGGCCCTCACTTCGGAGCTGGCCTCAGTTGGAGCTTCACGGCTCCCTGGTTGGGGTCCAAAAGACGGTGAACACGTTTGGCTGGATACACTTGCTGATATGGCAAGGAGCCGACCTCAGTGGCGTTCCTGCTGTGAGTTTCTTTGTCCCTCCCCATCCCTTTAGCCTCCCCCTCCACCTACGATCTTATCTCATAGCGTAAAACATAATAATTTTTCTTTTTGCCTAGTAGCCGGCTGGTAGCTTACCGGAACGATGCCTATCCGTTGCTGGTAGTTCAGCTGGCATTCAACTGTCGTATTTATTTTTTCCTTTATGTATTGTATGTATGTATGTATTTCCTTTATGTATTGCGGTACAATAGCGGAGGTGTTTTACCATCTCTAGCTGACATGCATAATGATGATGATGATGATGATGATGATTTGCCTTTCTAGATCAACTGCATCTAATCTGAGTACTGCATATCCGGAACCGTATTACCCCGCCCTCCTATATTGACAAGAATGTTGCTGCTATGCATATTGAGCGAGTGTGGGTTGGCTCCGTTGATGAAACCTGGCTCCCCTCCGCATGCCTCCCGGTCTTATTCCTTTCAGTTTCCACTGGATATGGGGTGTGTGGATGGAGCTATGTGTGATACAGCACAAGCCACCCATGGTCTTTCTGTAAGCGCAGGTGTCTTGTAGCTGTCCTATAGAGGCCACAGTGACAGGCAAATCCGAAACCGGCTGCCGCCAACCATGTATGTTGCACTTATTATGCTCCACCGCAGTTGGGCTAAATTGACTTACGCGGCTTTTTCTGCATTACACTAGATCTAATCTAGCCCATTTTATTCGATTTGCGCAGTATTTTTTATCTTCCGCATATCTCCTTTTATTTTGCGCGTTTTCTCTCTCAGTTTCCTTCTTAGTCGGTTGACATCCCCTGATTAGCACTTACACTCGTCACCACCAACATGTAGACACCTTGACCTTCAATATTTGCCTATGACATTTGCTCTTTGCACTGAACTTCCCCTCCCTATCACTCTCATTGTTCCTGGTAAGCCTTGTCATTATGGTCGCCTGACAGCATAGTGTCAGCTCATATTTCCCATGTGTGATGTCGTTCGGAAAATTCATTGCAGCCACGCTTATTCAAAAAGCCACTTGGTCTGGGCTCAGGCGTTGTTTCTTGACTCTGTTTCAGTCGTTATGTACTGCTGTCTGTTGTTGTAGCACGCCATATAGGCAACAGAGTAAGTGGACTGATCACAACTATTTGAGTCTGCATGTTGTTGTTTGTGGTGTATATGCGACTAGCCTACTGCGTTGTATACATTTTCATGTTATAATTCTCCAGAATCACTTTTCCCATCCTAAGCTGACAGCCCAAACTTCCGGTTGCTTTGGGTAGGATGTTGTTGTACATTCACCATGTTGTCCCTCTTATTCTTCTTATATGCTCGTTGTGTTTCTTGTGCGGACTTCCGATCTCTCCCCTCAATTAACCACCTTACGTTTTGTAGGCATCCTTGCGTGGACGTGTCGTTTTACTGGTTGCACCCGCAACTGATCCCTACACGAAGACTTCCACCGGAAGCATTGTAAGTGCTTTGGCCATAGTTATTCATGTGGTATGGTCTTTGTTTCCTAACTGGTGCTCACATTATGCTATAAACGAATCGCGTGAATCCTATACGGAAAATGCCACGCTTTGTTTACTGCGTAACTTTACTTACTTGAACATTAGTCCAACCCCAACCCGATGTACTTCACTCGTAAGGTATATCGTCATGAATTGGTTATCTTTAAAGCCATTTCTTATGAACATGAAATTACTCTCCATATTCCGATCCTCTTTCCCAGATCCACCTACGGGCTTTGTTCTCGTACGAACCCGAAGAGGATCGTTACCTGGCCTGTCACGAGCTGGGGCTATCTTTCAGCAAAGGCGATATTATTCACGTCACTGGCAGACGTGATCCAAACTGGTGGCAAGCATACCGGTGAGCTTGATGGTTTCACGCATACTACTGCACTTTAGTGTTACACATAGGGTATGAATTATTTCACTGTGCATATGAATCAACTGCCCCTCTTTTTGCTGTGGCAGACAACCGTTCACACTTTTTCACTACCCACTTACGTTTATGGCTGCATCACTGCGCTTTTGTTGACGGATGTCTTTGTGTTCATATCATCACTCCATTTGCTAGCGGCCTGACGTTTTTAGCTAACTTCTCAAACCATCGTTGTCTTCGGAGCATTGCTGGTGTCTAATGGCACCACCGTCTCTGCATCTATGATGTGCGTAGGCGAGTGTTAGTAGTAATCAGGCTAGTTCCTTGGGACAACAAATAGCATAGAATAAGTTGTCTTGACTTGGTCACGTGCCACCGAGGTCTCTTTTTTGTTGTCATGTGTACGGTGGCGCAAGGTTTGAGGTAGGCAAAAATTAACATGGCAGCGGTAGATAAAGCCACTGTCGACCAAAGTCGGCGCCGTCAATCCGTCTCGCTTTCTGGGATGAAGTATACGTGACCCGCCTTGTGCCTGGCTCTAGAATTTACAGGACATGGCTCGCAGTGGACACCAGTGGCGCGTCTGCTGTCGTCTCCTAGTCGGACTGCCTGTTTAAAGTTAGTTTCCAGTCACTCAGTTTTCATTCTTAAGTCTCTCTACCGTGATTCTTGAGGCCACGTAAGGGTCTACGGGAAACTCCCCTGAGTTCCCCACGGCAAATGGGGTTTGCCATGGTTGCCCTATATCTCTTTTCCTCTCTCTTTATCATGTGACTCCGTTTTTTCAGACTCTACCGGAGTGAAGGTTCTGTCAGGTGAGCGAATGACAAACCTGCAGTATGCAGAAGACATAGCTCTTCTTGGGTCTGACGCAGTGGCTGTGCAAACATTGCTTGTCAGGGAGATTAAAATCTCACTGGAAAGCTCGCTACTATATATTACCGTGTATAAGCAGAAGGATTTTGGACACTTTCATGTCAGTAGTGGGGAGGTCGGCTTATACAAAGGTTATTCGCAATTCTAAGAAATCACATGCAAAATTCACTCCGAAATTCACTGCGCTTCTATGCCCCTATTTTGCCTTAGCGCTGCTCGCTAGTGACAGACTGTATCCCAGGTGGGGATTTGAAGTGCCTGCCTATAAGTAGAGACATGTTTGCGTCGAAAATTCTCGGTATAATGCACATTTGACTTTCGCGACGGATGGCAGTAACAGAAACATACTGATTATACAGAATCGAACACCATCACACACAATAACATTGGAAAAAGACATGACAGAACAGCACGTACCGGTAGATTTTATAGGCTCACATATCCAAACGCTGCACAACGGTATTAAAATTACTCTAATTCTCCGAAACTAGAATTCGAGTCCGAATCTTCAAACAGTTTCTGATACTGACCGTCTGTCATTGACACGTCATTTGTGCGCTTAACATCTTTGTTCTGACGGCTCTATGCTCCGTTAACTGCGACCATAACACATCAGGTCTCCGTAAATGATCAATAATAGAGCAGCTTTCGCTTGAGCACACTCGATTGAGGGCAGGTAGTGATGCAGTCGAAATCCGTGAGAAACAATTTTCTTTCTCTTTTTGCTGATTTTTGGTGGTCGGCTAATTTACGGACTTTGGATTTTGAACACATCTGACTTGGCAAAGTCATACTGTCGGCTTATACACGGTAATATACAGTAATTCAATGGGAAAACGTAGTGAGCTATTGGTGGTTTTAGGAACTTTCGCGTCGTGCGCACAAACCTACCCATTGGCTAGCGGTACTGATCTACCAATCAGGAAAGCTAACCTAGCTTTTCTGATGCGTGCAATTCCTTTGGCTCACCATTGTATCCGTTCGGCAGCTTGTTCTGCAACTCGTTTTTGCCTCCAAGAGTTGACTTCTGATTTTCCGTCTGGGATTCGGAGCTAGCAGAGAACCATTTCAGTTTAACCGGAGTGGCGTAGCTCATAAACATGCTGAATAGATGGACGCATAACGCCGCACTGTTCAGCATGTGCTTTGCACCTTCAGAGTGCATAGTACTGGCACAGGACTGGACCGACACACTTGCTGTTCTTGCTATCACTGAACAACCACTGAAAGTGCTAGATCGGTTCACTTACCTTGGTGGCTGCGTCACCTCTGATGGTCATATCACTTAGGAAGTTACTCTGCGTATCAGCTAGGCCCATGTGACTTTCCAGAGACTTGACCATCTATGGCAACGGCGGGATATCAGCCTGTCGGTGAAAGCTAGGGTGTATAACGCTGCGGTAAGGCTGCTTTTATCGTATGGATCAGAAACATGGCCAGTTCGCGGCGACGACATTGTACACAGCCATGTTTGACCGCCGATGTTTGAGGTGTATTGCTCACGTGGGAACACCGGGTGACCGATGCGAAGGTCCGCGATTTGGTTTTCGGCAAAAAGCCTTCTGATGCCTCCGTCGAGTGTTTGCTGAGTCTTAATCGCTTGTGTTTGAGTCATGACCCCCGTCATGTCTACTGGCCGGCTTCATCGATGTGCCTTATACGCCAAGGCTGCAGCAAGTTGGGCGGAACTGCTAGATGTCCAGTCCATGACGTGTCATGAAGAAATTGACTGAGAGACTTGGTCTTCCTTCGTCCGACGAAGGCTACGACGGAACAAGGCATCGGTTGATGCATCCCGGCTGCCGGGCTGCGGTCTATCGCGAGGAAACTAGTCCTTAACGTGGTGCGACGGTTTGCGTACCTCCTTGACCCATTGAGCTATACTGGGTGATGCCTCCGGGCACCTTGCGAGCTACTCATGCCAGATTGGTTAACCGTTAGAGGTCAGACAAACTCAGTGTCTCACTACTATATAGCATGACGGCCCTTACTCTGGCCTTGTATACACGAGCTTTTAGATGGATAGAAACTCCCTTCTGTCGCCAAAGATGCTGCAGGTTCAAGAACGCAGTTCTGGCTTTTGCAACGCATGAACTGACTTCAGTTTCTATGTGCCTATCGTTGCTGATTCAACTGCCAAGGTAAGTGAATCTATCAACCGGCGCGAGTTCCTCGTTACCAAGGGTTAAGAATTTATCAAGTGGCTGGTGGTCCTGCAGCGACACTTTGCACTTTGAAGGTGCGAAGTGCATACCAAATAATGGGACCACTACACAGCCTATTCAGGTTTGATTGTGTCGCCGCAACATCTTCGAAAAGCAAGACGATATCGTACGCATAATCAAAATCAACTAACCTTTCACCAGGCAAGATCTCAGCGCCTGCATCGTGAGATTGCTTAAGGGGACACTCCAAGAATCACTGGGCATTGACGTTTGTTGTGTGTCCGAAACTAGGATCAATCACCCTAATGGTGTCATTGAATTAACTCCACCCGGCTTGTCATGTCGCCATTGGTTGCACGCAACGGGAGACACCGGTGCAGCACTCAGGGGTCAGGCTGGTATAGGTATCATTCTAAGCTCTAAGGCTGAGCCATCGTTGGTTGATTGGATTCGGGTGAACAGCTGTTTATGTGCAGCCCGTTTGACGACGTCAGCTGGCGTTGATTCACCAAGTAGTACAAAACGCTGTTTGTTTGAGATTTCCGCTTATGCCCCCGCCGACTGCAGTTCAGCTACTGTGTAGAACACATTCTATCACGAACTGAACGCGCTACTACGCAGTGCTACTGGTTCAGATTTTATAATTCTTGCAGGGATATGAACGTACAAGTAGGGCGTCTGAGCTCTTCAGAGGTTCTGCTGGGTGGTAATTATGGGCTTAACTCCGCACTGACTGACAACGGTGAGCGTCTGCTGCAACTGTGTGCGGTGCACCAGTTTTTTAATGGAACTGCTTTTAAACACAGTGAGTGTCGAAATGTCACTTGGCGTCCTCCTGTAGCTGGCCAGCGAGGGACCCATATTGATCATATTGCCATAAGTTACATGTGGCCTGGTTCTATCCTGGATTGCCGCTCATACTGGAATAATTGCGTCGACTCTGCTCATGCCTTGGTACACTGTCGTTTCTCCATGAACCTTACATGGAATCGTACCAAGCGTCTCCCCCGATTGGCAACTGAGAAATTGTCTCAGCCCTCGGTAGACAAGCCCTTCAATTCGCACTGCGTACCGAACTTTCGCTGTCTTGTCATACTAACACTGAGCTTTAGTGGAATAGGATCTCGGCCGTCATGCACGACGCAGGAGCATCTGTTTGTGGCACTATCCATCGTCACCGCATCAGTCACTGGATATCGGAGAGGTCGGTGAACCTTTTGGAATCTAGGAGAAACCTCCCGACCGGCTCTGAGCACACTGTGACCAGACGGTCCATTAGGCGCGAACTAAAGCGGAGCCTACGTACTGACAAGGATGCCTGCAGTACCGGTGGGGCTCAAGAAATGGAGGATGCGGAAGCAGTAAGCAATTACCGCCAGCTCTTCCAGCTGATCCGCACCACTGGTCTCAGGAAACCAGGCGTCAGTGAGACAATCAGAAATGGTGCGGGTGCACTGATGCGCAATATATATATATATATATATATATATATATATATATGTGCCGGAGCTTTTGCTCGTGTTCCTGGTAAGAGGGAGGATCTGTGGGAGTAGACCACTCGGCCCCAGTGCTAGCGCCAGAGGTAACAGATGCAGCTGGGGGCCAAAAAAATTGCGGGCCAAAATGTTCAGCCCATCGCTGCGACCGCCGTTGAAGTTTAATGATTAGGGAGCCGTTATCTTCGCATACTGTTTCACTTATACCAGATCGAACACTTTTGGTGACTAGAATGATATGAAAAAGTTTTCTGCTATTACCAGAGAGACTAGCAACCTCCATCTCTTTATCACGTTAACACCACCAAGCTTCGCGGTCCATTTGTAGACTCCTGCGCAACTCTTCACTGTGTCTGGAATCCGACGGGATAAAGCGACGTTTGTCCATCGGCGACAAGGAGACATCGGAAATCCGATTCTTCGGTGGGTGACGGGCAACTCCACTAGT